AAGCCACCTGCGGCTCTTAGCGAGCTATGTACAACAGCTCTGAACCCTGCTCTTTTCCTGAGCCAATCCTATTTTTTCTGACACACCTAGCATCATTACCCCAGTCACTGAGTCAATCCATCTCATCGAGGGTCTTCCTCTCTTGTGCTGTCCCTCCACCCTCCTTAGCATAATGTCCCTCTCCAAGGACTGGTCCCTCCTTGCAACATGCCCAAAGTATGTCAGACGAACTTCAGAATCCTTGCCTCCAAGGAGCAGCCTGGTTTCACCCTCTCAAGTATGAAACTCTTTGTTCTCTTAGCATTAGCAGCCACAAAAATACTCTCCCAGGTTTGAGTGATAGGAAAAGGGAGACTGGGGAAGGAGAATGATTGAAGACCTAGATTTGTTATTTGGATGCCAAAATGAGGACCTACAAGTTTATGAGGGAAATGTTGAAATCTTATTTGCTTGATGCCTAATTCTTTTAGTTCTGGCTTCATTTCCCTCAGGACACTGGTATTTCACTCTGCCCGGCACTTTACCTGTTCAAATTGCGCTAAATGTGCCATGAAACAACTAAAATAGCTAGGACTTAGGAGGAAGTGGACATGGCAGGGGCTAGCTCTGACCCTGGCATATCATGTTGTTTGCTGTTGTTAGGTCAGTTTTGATCCATAGTGACCCCAGGTGACAGACTTTTCTAGACTATGACCGTTAGGGGGGAGGAGCTGTGGTGCTCTAGCCTGTAGTGTGTAGGCTGCCTCTGGCAGTGTGAATCCATCAACATTTCCACAGAAGAGAAATGGACAGTCTTCTCCAAGTAAGATTTCCAGCCTCAGAAATGCAGCAGAGAGTCACTGCAGGTGGGTCTCAAGTTGATGGCAGTGAGGGAATCTCTGAGGAAGGAAGGCGCCATTCTCCTGAGGATCCATGGGGTAGGTTCAAACTATTAACCTCTCAGCAGCCAAACACTTAATGATTGCGTTGCCGGGCCTCCATAACACCCATGTCCACTACCAACCCCGCTGACACTATACTTTAGGACAGAAGACAGCTGTCCCATGAGGTTGCCAGCGCTGTAACTCTTTATTTTGTCGGCCTGCACATCTGTCTTCTGTGGAGAGGCTGGAGGGTTCGTACCACTAACCTTTTGGTTAGAAGCTTAGCACTTTAATCACGGCACAACCAGGAGTCCTTTAATTTTTGCTGGGCTCTGGGAGAGGGAGTACTCCAATTCCAGTGACAACCAGGCTAAACCATGTTCCTGCGGACTTTGAATCTTTCAAAGTAGATGGCAGCTGAACATTCCTAAAATTCAGGAGGAAATGGTGCCTCTTGGGTACAAGGGACGAAGCCCCGGCGGCCAAGTGTTTATGCACTCTGCTGCTTTCCTAAATGGTGGCTTTTCCAAACCTACCATCTGCTCCCTGGGACTGCAGCATTAGAACCAATGGGGCAGTTTTCTATGTTCTGTAGGATTGTTAGGAGTCAATCTGCTTGACCTCAGTAGGTCAGGGACCAGAAGGAAGAGGCTAAGTATTTCTTTTCCTTCAGAGCATAAAGCCTGTCTTAAATTTTTACATTGAATTGAGTTCCTTGGTTCTTTTTGTTTCCACCCTATTCCTCTCTATCCTTCTCCTTATCTCTGAAACCAGAGACAATGTCCCCAGATAGTAATCAATTGTCCAACCTTCCCCAGGTCTCTCCCCAACCTCAGCCTTTCAAAGGATGCTGGGAGCTTCTATCAGTGCTGCCCTGTGCCTGTGGATTCAGATTTCTCTCAGGGCTGGGAAGAGGGTGGGGAAGCAAAAATTAACCTTTCTGTTTTGTTTTGTTTTTAATATCAGTCAATATACTCAATATTAATTAAGACTGTAAATGGGTTGTGCAACAATGAATAAATATTTTATAAAAAAGTGACTTGGGGGAAGGGGAAGGGAGGGGATAAAATGTGCAGCAATAATGAATAAAAACCTAACTTTTCTGTAAACTTTCATTAAAATCACAATTAAAAGAAAAATTTATTATTAAAAAAAAGACTGTGATATGGGGCAACTTAGCGACTCCTCCCCTGTTTCAACCATGCAAAGGAATTTGCGTGTGGCTGTCAGACCTAAAGAAATTCTGATAACAGGACTCATAAAAGTGAGCTAGACGCATAGGGTTCCTAGACTTGGTTTCTCAATGAGCCATCTGTGTCAGAATGACCTGCAGTGCCTGTTCCCAGGGCCGGTTCCAGGACCCCATCCCAGACCTGAGGAACCAGGTGACCCGAGAATGGTGTCCTGGAATCTGAATTTTAACACACTAACCCTCCTGATCTTGATGCAGCATTATGTTTGAGAGCCTCTACTTTAAAAGTACAAATTCTCTTTGCTCCCTCTTTGACTTTCCACTCTTGCCATGTTTCGTTTCCTTGGAATCTGGGGTGAGACACTCTGAAGAATGTACAACAGGCACAGGCTTGTGGGCCTGGCCCTGGAGAGAGATGGGGAAGGGTGGGTGGGGCTGGGAAGAGATTTGCTAACACAAATACTGTCCCATCAAGACAGGGCAAATTTGCCAAGAGGCTCACGAGGACATGTCATTTACTAGAGAAGCTTGCCTGGTTCTCCCTGCTCCGGGCTGAGGACTCTGGTGTCATGAGCAGAGGCCAGTGGGGTGGTGGGGGGAGGGTGTAGATCGGAAACAAAAGCAGAGGGCCCAGGGTAGGGAGTTTCTGGGATTCTCTTGGTCCCAGGAGAAGGTGTGACTTGAGATTCTCTGGGGAGAAAAGGGAGAGACAAGTCTGACTTCAACTTCACTCAGAGCTTTATATTCATACAAGGTAAAGGGAATCCTTCACACCCTGATTGTGATGGTCAGAAGCTGGAAGAGGTTAAAAAGACTCAAAATCTCTAGGACACTGAATTAATTTTACTCATTTGCTCAACAGATGATTATTTCTGATCAGTTCACAAAAAACCATCAGAAGTCAGAGTTTGTGGTAGAGCTTCCTTTAGTCATCTCTCCCATCCACCCTCTTGGTAAAGATTCAGACAGCATCTTTTCTGCCTCACACACAAATCAAGTGGATGACTCCTACTGCCCCTTCTCAGGTCAGTTTCTCACCTTTCCTGGAGTCCCAGGTGGCTTGAATGCCCTTCTCTATGCTTCTGTGGACTCCGTGCTGCCCACATTATGTAACGGAGCACCATGTTGTAATCTGTAGCTGGCATCTCTGTCTTCCCTACCAATGATCTGCATTCCTTGAGAACAGGGATGGTTCTGTGTGACTCGTGCCTGGTTTAAGGCCTTTCATGGGATAGATAGACGTTCACAAGTCTACAAGGATCAGTCCAACAGTGAGTGGCCCCTCACAGGGTTGGTGTCAGAGAAACCGGCCCACCTCCTCCATAAGAGGGACAGGCCTGGCCTGGATAGGGACCCTAGACACCAGGCCAGACTCCTGCCATTCCATTGTGCGTCCCAGGAGGCTGCCAAGGATTACAGCTCCAGCTGGCAAGTGGTGCAATTTTCTTCCTGGAAGGATTCTTGGCTTGAGAACTGGCCCTCACCTCTCCTATCCTTCTTGGACAGCCTCATATTCCTGGGGAAGCAAAGCAGGAAGGAAAACACTGTGGTGGCCTCAGCCTTGTTAGTCGTACCCTGAGCACTGTTTCCTTCCTGAATCTCCCCCAGGTGTACATGGCAGGGATCCCCAGGGATAGAAATGTTTCCCAATATTGGGTAGAGGTAGAGGGCAGGGCTGGTTAGACATTTGGTGCTAGGAGTGGGGCACTGCTGCTGGCCACACATGTCCAACCTCTAATTCTAGGTTTCTTTAGCTTAACTCACCAAGAAAGGACACAGTCCACAAGATGAAGAAAACCCACACCAGATCCTTGAATTCTTGTAAACAATTCCCACCAACGATGCACAGAGTATATGGCTCTGGTTGGCCTATCCATGTTTCTATGAAAGTCCCAGATTTTTTAAAAAGACCTTCAAAGAAAGCTATTGTGATCCAGTTGATTCTATGATCCTACAGAACAGCCCCTTGGGAGCCCCAAGGCTGCCAGTCTCTATGGGAACAGACTGCCACATCTTTCTCCCACACAGTAGCTGGTGCGTTCAAACAGCTGAGGGCTTAACCACCACCCCAGCCCCACCACAGCTTCTTAAAAGTGCCAGAGGCTTCAGAACACGTCTCACCTCTCAGCAGGGGCCATACTACAGGGCCTCGTCCCTAGCCCAGGCAACACAAATCCAGTAAGTTCTTTTATTTTCTCTTTAATTTTTCTGAAGGATATACACCACATATCCCATAGGCAATAAAGCGCATTCAATGTGTTTATAAGCCAAACAGTCACTTTGTTTAAGCAAACACATGTACAAAGTAAAAGAAAACCACAAAATAATGAACTGCATGTTCATAACATACAAAAATTGCCGCCTACTCAGTAGGTAACTACAACATTCCAACTCCTGAATATATTTATAAATTTACATTTTCAGTTAAAAAAATAGACTTTTGAGAGTTCAGATTTTTAGATTTTTTCCCCCCCTTACATTCTGGAGAACCGAGGCTCAGCTCGGCTGTCTTCCTTGTTTTGCTCCCAAAGCCTCCCCCAGGTCATCACTCCCTGCCCTCCTTAAGGCTAGAGGGCGCTTGTCCCTCACAATTGCACATGTCAAGCCATCAGCAAGGCGCATCACACGAAAGGCACCAAGACGTGAAACTTTTTTAAAACCAAAGGACAAAAAATTAAAACCACTTAAAAAAAAAAAGAAAACCAAACCATATTTTGTATTTTTTATCACATGTGAGAGTTCAGTCGGGCAATATTTACAAAAAGACTAACGGAACATCACTCTGACACATGCTCTGGTTAACACCGAGGACTGCTGTTTCAAAAAAAGCTTCAAACTCATTGTCACAGCATCATCACAAGATAGAGGATCACCATTGGTTTGCTTGGCTTTCCTTTTTTTTTTTCCCTCCCCCCATTTAAAAAAAATTTTTTTTTGTTTTGTTTCCCAAAGTGAGGACTTAACTCCAAATAATACAAGAGAATATGCAAATTATCTTCACATCAAGAGTACCTCAAGAAAAATTAAATCCATGGCACAGACACTGTACAAGGTGCAGGGGTGGGCTCTGAGGGACCCAAACCCCATTTTGCCAACTCAGTTTTCTAGTACTGAAGGGAGCAAGGGGTCAGGCATTCGATGGAAATGATACTGAAATTATATATCCAAAATCCATGCAAATCAAGTTCTTTGGATAGAGGTGAAGAACTTGGACATGGCTGTTTCAGGCAGCTGAAGTCAAAGGGGGAAGGGAATGGGGGAGGTAGGGAAAGTGGGCAGAAAGGAGTACTGGTCGGCAGACCTTCCAGCTGACCTTGGGGTCGAGCAGAAGGAGGGGAGCACTGTGCTCTGAGGACTCCATCTGACCTAAAAGGACCCCCAGCTATGGCCAGCTCCTCTTTCTGTCCGTAAGTCTCTTGTGTTTCTTTTTCTCCCTTTTTTTTTGTTTTCATTTTCCCTTTAACATATTTCAATTGTCCTGGGAGAAAATGTTGATGCCATGTCCGAAAGGCCTGTGGAGGCGCTGAAGGAGTTGGTGACAGCCGAGGAAGGGAAGCTGTTGACTTGGGTTGGGAACGCAGCGGGCACAGAGGAGTACGTGGTGGCCACTGAAGGGGAGGGGAAGCCGCTGTGGACCGGGGACGGGTAGGTGGAGGAGCCAGGCGAGGAGTAGGAGGTTGGCACAGGCGATGGGTATGAGGTGGTGGCCGGAGACGGGTAAGAAGTAGTGACTGGGGACGGGTACGAGGTAGCCACGGGGGACGGGTAAGAGGGGAGAGAGGAGGTAGCCGCAGAGGCTACAACACCCTTGTCTGCTTTCTTGTCCTTTTGTCGCAAGTGGATCTTGGTATGCCTTTTGCGTTCATCGCTCCTGGCAAACTTTCTTCCACAGATGTCGCAGGCGAAGGGCTTCTCGCCTGTGTGGGTTCGGATGTGGGTGGTAAGGTGGTCGCTACGGCTGAAGTTGCGCATGCAGATGCGACACTGGAAGGGTTTCTGGCCCGTGTGGATGCGGATGTGGCGGGTAAGCTCGTCGGAGCGGGAGAAGCGGCGGTCACAGGACTCCACTGGGCAGGCATAGGGGCGTTCGTGGGGAGGAGTCTTGCTGGGCCGGTTGGGGTACTTGCGCATGCGGCTGGGTTTGATAAGTTGGGACTGATAGGTGGTGTTGAGGGCCTTCAAGTCCTGGGAGCCTGACTGTGTGGCAAAGGCCTTGATGGTGGAGAGTGGTGTGAGCGAAGGCTGCTGAGTGCGGCTCTCCAAGGCCTGGAAGGGCTTCTGGTCAGGGGTGCCCAGGCCTAGGTCTCCCTGCTGCTGTGGAAACAGGTAGTCAGGGATCATGGGAACCTGGAAGCCACCCTTGGCAGTCGGATAAGCAGGAGGTGGGTACTGGAGCGCAGTGCCAGCTGAACCAGGAAAGGCCTGGCTTTGTGGCTCAGGGAAGATGTCAGTGTTAGGTGTGGGGAAGGTGGGAGCTGCTGAGTAAATGGGGCTGCTGTCGTTGGGCTGCACGGCGCAGCTCAGAGGTGGGCTCTGTGAGGCGGAGGAAGATGAGGAGGCCGCAGGAGAGGGCGCCGAGGACGAGGTGGCTGGTGGGTTGGTCATGCTCACGAGGCCACTGACCAGGCTGAAGAGGGGCTCAGGCCACAGGGTGTTGCCACTGTTGGGCGCCGGCTCAAGAGAGAAGCGACCCGTGTAGGTGATAGGTGGCAGCCGGATGGTTTGGTTAGGGTAGCTCGTCTCTACCAGCACCTTCTCATTATTCAGAGAAATGTCAGGAAACGATTCTGCCAAGAGAGAGAGAGAAGGGGGGAGGCTTGGTTACTGGAGAGCAATCACTGGAGAAGGAAGAGGACCCGAACTGCTAGGCGAGAGGTCGGGCCAGCTACCAATGACTCTCGAGCTGGTTAATAATTGATAGAAGCAGATTGCAATGTTCCTGGACGCGCTCCAGCAGCAGAGCCCATTTCAACAACAGCTGACGCAAACACGGAGAATCCCCCTCCATTGCAGCTCCCAGCGCTCCGCAGCAGCGGCTGCGCGGGCAAGGGATTCCCGCCAGCATCCTCAGAGCCATGGCTAGTGCGCGTCCCCTACCCCGGGGCTGCTCGGACATCCCTGGCCACGGATTACTGCCCTTCCCTGGGGACAGGCAGCAGGCAAGGCAAGCCTTTCTGGAAGGGAGCGGGGCGCAGCCCTGCTCATCAAAACAAGTCCTCCCCCCTGCACCCACCCACGCAGCACAGACATCTCCATCCAAAACAAATTCTCCTCCTCTGCGCACCGGTAGGGACAAGGGAGGGGCGTCCCTAGGTATCCCTCTAGCACATGACTGAGGGTAAGAGGAATGGATGGGAAACCCCATTCGCATCCCTAAGGACGAGGAGGGCTCCTGCGGTGAAAAGGGGTGCTGCAGAGGCCTTGGTGAAGCACCGGACGTCAGGACGGGGGCCACAAGGCTAATCCACGGCGTAGGTCACCGCTTACCTGCGGTCAGGTGCTCGTAGGGCTGCTCGCCTGCCTCCCCCTGAGGGTTGAAGGCGCTACTGCTGTTGCTGTTGCTGCCGCTGCCTCCACCTCCGCCGCCCCCGTTGCTGCTGCTGTTACCGCCGCTGCCCTCAGGGGCCCCGGCGGCACCGAGGAACTGGGGCGCCCCGTTGCTCAGCAGCATCATCTCCTCGAGCTTGGGATAGTTATCCATGGTGGGCGAGTGAGGAAAGGAGCCGAACGGGTCGGAGATCTGCAGCGGGGACATCAGCTGCATCTCGGCCTTGGCCGCGGCCATCCCGGACGGGCAGCTGGCGTGCTGGTGTGAGGGCAGGTGGGTGCAGCCCGGGGCCGGAGCTGCGGGGACGCTCGCGGGCGCCTGGCCGGGTCACATGCGGGGCGCGGGGCACACTGGGGAGGGCGCAGCTGGGGTTCCCAGGCTCGCCCTAGCCGCGGGCCGGTGTGGACGCGGCGCAGCTGCGGAGGCTGGGGTAGGGGCCGGTCCTGCGGCGGCGGCTGGCGGCGGCTGGCGGCGGCGGCGGCTCCCCAAGTTCTGCGCGCTGGGATCTCTCGCGGCTCCCCGGATCCGCCTCTATTTGAAGGGTCTGGAACCGCACGGGCCAGCCTCCGCCGTGACGTACATGGCCATATATGGGAAGCAGGAAGCCCTAATATGGCAGGACCGGCCGGGAAGACCCGGAGTGACGTGAAGCCCCCTATTGGAGAGCGCTGGGTACCCCCATCCTGAGCCCCAGGCCTGGCGCGGGCTCTCGCACCCTGGGCTCCCAGGCCTCGGGGAAGCCCAGTACTCGAGCTGCAGCCCAGGATCCGCAGACTCAAGCGTCTCTCGAGTTATCCGGGTTGCCCCCGCCCCCTTCCCTCCACCTTCCTCCCTCCTGCCAGGGCCGGAAGCGGCAGGGCCATATCGGGCCATTCCAAATAAGGCGCTGCCCAAATAAGGATTGTTCCGGCGGGGGATCCTTCCTGCTCCTTATATGGTGTTTCCGGGTCGCTGCTTGATGCTCCCGCGCTCCCGCCCTCCTCCCTGGTTCCAAGTCGGGAGTCCGAGCGCGCGCACGATGGGGGAACAGCCGCGCGGAGAGGGCGCAGGGTGCACGGCCGCACAGGAGGCTCCTCGGCGGCGACTGGCCTGGGGAAGCCCGCGGCGGGGCGAGGGCGAGTCAGGCCAGGGTTCTTCCGCCGTCATCCAGGTCCCGCCCGCCCACCTCTGGGACCGTGGGAGCGAGGGACCGAGGGGAGGAGCGGCTGGGCGGGCTTGGGCAGAGGCCAGAGAGGCGGGGCCTTGACCCTTATAGGTGTCAACTGAGAAACTGAGGCTAGGAAATCCTGACCCGCTTACTTCTCCGTCACCTGTCTGTGGAATGAGGTTGCGGGAGTGCCAACTCTTCTGTGACCCTGGAGCAGCCTCCTGCAAGTAAACAGCCTACAGCTGGGGGACAGATGAAGGAACCTGTCATAGAAGATTTAAATCCTGTTCCCGCCAGGGGCTGATGGTCCTTGTTGGCAGGGCAGCCCTTTTCTTCAAGGTTCGAATCCTCCGGTACTCCTCAGGAGAAAGATGGGTAGTGTCCTTCCTTGTAATTTACAGCCTTGGAAATCCCCTGGAGGGTCAGCTATGAACCGAGATCTACTAGAGGACAGTGAGTTTGAGAGGTTGTTTTTAAAATCCAATTCAAGTGGGAGGGGGCCGGGCGTGACAGAAATCAAAGGGCTTCTCTACAGATTGACTGCAGACCCCACGTTGAGAAGGAAATTCATCCAATGGCTCAGTGCTGCCCCCTAGAGGTCCCCTCTAGCTCCACTCGGGGTCCCTGAGCACGAGGGCTCTTTCGCCACCTCCTGGCTCCCCCTCCTGGCTGCCTTGCTTGGCGCGCAGCCAGACCGGGGGAACCTTAGACGCAGTGAAAGCGCACTGAGCAGGCGCCGCAGCCCGGGCTCTCCCTGCAGTCCCTGGAGAACCGCCACCGCCGAGGCGGCCAGACTCCAGGATAGCACATCTCCCTCCCGCTGGAGCAGGGGCGGCGAGTGGGGAGGCGATTCTCGCAGGTCTCCTGGGAGTGAAAGCGAACAGGAAAGCCCTCCCCGCAGTCAAGTGCGCACCCCAAAGGGAGCAAGGATTCCGGGAATGGAAAGCTTCCTTCTGTAGCGTTATCCTTGAATCCAGGGGAGGTGCTATTTTTTTCCCCCTTCTGAATTTAAAAAGATGCATGTATGGAAGGAAGGTGCTGACCATAAAGGGGGAGAGAGTGGGTTAGGTCAGGGGTTAAAATCGAGGGTTTGAATGAGGGGGAGAGGGGTTTTAATTCTCTTGGATCTCATCTCTGTATCCTCCACCTACAGGTTTGTTTTGGTGTGTTTTTGTTTGTTTAATAAACTCTACTTCAGGAATCCAACAAAGAACTAGGACAGTCTGTTGGTCATACTCTGGTTTGTTTGGGGTCTCCATGCCAGGGATCATGGGCAAGTGTCCATTTCCACTGCCGCTGATTTTTGGCAGGAGGAATACATTTCTCTTTCTGAGGCCACTAGCTTTAGGACTGAAGTGCAGGCCAGGCGAGGTCAGATGGTTTCCTGTCAGAATGCTCATTTTGTCACAGATGAGTACCTTGGCAAAACATCCCCCCACCCCCATTATCTGTTTACAAATTTAAAGAAAAATGTTTTTTCAACTTACCTATCTCTTATTTCCCATCCCTGGGAATTATCCAAGAATGATTCTTTCTAGGTATAAACATTTCTTTAGCATTTTTGTAATAGTGCACACATACAATATTTGTCCTTTTTATGACTGATCTTTTTCACTCAGGATAATGTCCTCATTATTATCCACATTATGTGGCAGTTTGGGCCATACTTTTTTGCATCTCATTTCCTGAACTTTAAAATTAGTAATGATACCCACATTGAAGAAGACAAGCTTTCACAGGCTGTCATCTGTTAAGTCCCATAGCACAGCACTTGACTTGCAGTTGACGGTCATTTGACAGTTGTTGTTGTTAGGTGCTGTCAACTAGACTTAGAGTGATACCATGAACAATTGATATGAACCCTGCCCTATCCTGAGTCATTCTCATCATCTCTGATATACCTGAGCCCGTTGTTATAATCATGTTGTCAATCCATCCTATGAAGTGTCTTCCTTTCTTTCAATAACCCTCCACCTTCCCAACCATGATGTCTTTTCTCAAGGACTGGCTGTCTTATTTTCAGTGACTTTGAACCAATCCGGTCACTCACGCAGCCTCAGCATCCAAGCAAACCCTACTCCTTTTCTAAAGCTATCCAGAAAGGGAGAAACATTCCCATTCTAACACAGGGACAGTGTCCCTGTGAGCTAATCTGAAACCTGTGGTGATGGTAGAACATCATCTTCTAACACAGAACTTTTAAACTTGGACTGTAGACTAGACTCAGTCATGCAACTCTGAGAAAAAAAGAAAAAAAGAGAGAAGTTATGCCCTAGACCGACTGAATCCCAATGGTCAGGAGTGGAACCCTGAACATGTGAGCTCATGAGCTGAGCAGGCATCTCACCCTGGGCTCCGGGTGCTGCAATCCCTGGGACCACAGTAAGTCAGCTCACTAGACTCATTCTCATGTGCTGGCTGACTAAGGGATGTTTAAGGTGATCTCTGAACCTGGGCTCTGAAAAATCTTGAACTCTTGTTTTACCAGTTGTTGCTAGGTGCCTTTGAGTCAATTACAACTCAGAGATTCTATGAACAACATATCTGAGCCTGGCCCTATCCTGTGCCATCCTCATGACCACCAATACATTCAAGCCTCTTTTTTCAGTCAGTGCATTCTTGTCAATCCATTTTTCCCAGCATGATGTTTTTTCCAGAGACTGCTCCTTCCTGCCTGACAACTTGCCCAAAAATGTCTAAGACTAAGTCTGACCATCATTACCTAACTTGAAGGAGCACCCTGGTTATATTTCTACAAAACAGATTTGTTTGTTATTTTGGCAGTCCATAAGATACTGTGTTTTGCCTCAATTCCTCTTTCTTTTTATAACGATTGTCCAGCGAGAAATTTTCGTTGGTTTCTCAGTATATGAGGTTGGAATAAAATGACTGCATTAGTAGATCAAAGAGTGGGTATATAACTCAAGTCTAGATGTGTTAATCTCCCCCATCATTGTGATCGATGCAGACCAATTAGGTCCAAACCAGATCAGTGAGAATCACTTCTGAGACTTTTTCTTGGAAAAGAGGAATTCTTTTCTCCTGATGCGTATGTTAGGTGTGCCTAGTCCAAGCCATGGTCTTCACAATTACTTGCTATGCATTGGAGAGCTGGACAATGACTAAAGATGATAGTAGAAGAAGAATCAATGAGTTGTGGTGCTAGAGAAGAGTACTGAACATACCATGGACTGCCAGGAGAACAAACAAATCTGTCCTGGAGACGGTGAAAGTTTCTTCTTGGAAGCAAAGATTTTGAGGCTCCATCTCACATACTTTGGGCATGTTACCAGGAGGGGCCAGACCTTGGAGAAGGAGATCATGCTTGGAAGGGTGGAGGGACAACACAGGAGAGGCAGACCTTGGATGAGGTGGATTGAAACAGTAACTGGTATAGTGGGGGTTAGATGTGTCAGAGACCATGAGATTGATTCAGGATAAGGCAGGGTTTAGAGTTGCTGTATATAGAGTAGCTATGAACCACAAGCAAGTTGATGACACATAAGAACAACAATGGGCATGTTGTTGGGAGAGGCTATTCTTTGGAAAGATACATCATGCTTGGAAAAGTGGAGGGTCAGCAAAAGAGAGAAAGATCTTTTACAAGATGGACTAAATGACTGCAACAATGAGCTCAAGAACGTCAATGATGGCGTAGGATACGACAGGATTCATATCTGTTGTTCATAGAGTCACTCTGAGTCATACTGAACTCCAGTAACAACAACAATTCTACTAAGTCAGTAAAATAAGCCTGGAGGCCATCTTGCTGTCAGGACTTGGAGATGCTGCCTTTACTATACAAGGAATAAGGAGTGGAGAGAAACATACAGAGAGTAAGTCCCTGAACTCAGCCAGGACTTTCAGGTTTGTTTATTTTATTATTGTTTGCCATTCAGTTGGAGCCTACCCACAGCTGACCCTCCAGTAGGTTTTCAGAGGCAGTAAATCATACGGGAGGAGATTGTCCATCCTTTTCCCCTTTTTCTGCAAAACAGCAGGCGGATTCATACTATGTGCCTTTGGGATTGCAGTGCAGTTTTCTTACCCCTGGGGCCACCAGAATGAGTTCAGTTTCAGATATTTGCCACAGGTTCTGATTAATACACCCACTATCAATAACAACAACAACAACACAAAATTTCTGAGGGGAAGGCCTGGGAACAGGGACCAAGGTATAGGCCCCTGCTTCTAAAGAGCTTGCATAGTTTGGTAGAAGGGAGCCTGGATTTTATGTTACTGGAAAATTAAGACTAGAAAGCCAGTGACTTTAAGCAGGGTTTGAAGGAGGGTGAGGAAGATAAAACGACTTTGAGGGAGAAAGAATGTGAGACTGGTCAAAA